CAAGGATCATAATTGCCCAGCTGTCAGCTAGGAGGTTACAATACGGCAGAAAGTAAATTTATCGGAGACTTTTCGGTACAGAAATATATCATAGAATTTTCAAATTTCGAAATGCTTTTAAAACTTAAGATTTATGTGTTTTAGTTGCCTAGATGCCAATAGCTCAGGCAGCGTGAGAGTTGAACGGATTTCAGAAAGTAATTACCAAATTAACCTTTTCGCTATACTCATGCAGTTTGGGTGAACAGAATATTTTTGTTTCTTAGGGAACTTCTCGCGCAATTTCAGAACAAGTGCGCCCATCAAAAGCAAGACTTCACGACTGCAATTCTCTATTAGGTATAAACTCTCGACCGAGATAAAAGGTAGGCTTAGTTTAAATTTATTTCGACAAAATCATTTGTAGACTAGAATAAAATCTGTAAAAAGGACTGATTTCCTAGTGGACTGTTTCACAGCTTTCAATTAATTAACATTATTTTCCTTTCCTCGCAGACAGTCGGAACGACAGCAGCAAAAACAGCGAAAGTTCTCAAGTTCTGGGTACTTAGCTGTCAGGAATAAAAAAACATAATCGAGGTTTGTTATTGTTTTCAAAGATCCTTTCGATGCACAAGCGTTTGAAATCACAGCTCTATTTGCGTTTGGCTTAAGCGAAGCAGCATTAAAATGGGCTATAGCTAATGTGAAATGAAACTGCATGGTCTATTGTGAAGGCTGTTTACCGTCTTTTTCAGTTTCTTCTCGAACTTCTCATTTGACAAGGAAATAGCCAATTGAGTCTTTGGAGGTATAGATAGAATAAAACTCTTGCAAAAACAGTTCATTATAACCTTATTATTTCCTAATCAACGGCAATAGGGTTGGTGTAACACAAATTGTCGCTTATTGAGGGATTAGCAAGTCGGAGTTACTTGACAGGTAATTGAAGTAGCCGCCTAAAAGGGTTCAAAATGTGTACTTTTCAAAATTAATAGGTTCCGTGCCAAAAAAGGTTTCAAAATCATACTGGACGTACAGAACAGCCAAAAGTCAACTCCACAAAACATGTAGACATTAAAAAAATGCGCCATTTTCAGCACCTGCAAGTGGCTCCTCATTGTCGGTGTTTTAATTTCATTTGGTAATTTATCTTCAGTTGAAGTTGAAAAAGACTGTCGCGTGCCCCGTGTTCGCACGGGAGTGTGAATTAAGCTGGCTTTGTAAATCTGTCGCCCCACACCTTCAAACGGTATTAACCCACGTACTGTTATTTTTCCGTTCGGCAAGGCAGTAAAAAGAGGTATTTATAACCTCCCTATTACTTTTGTAATATCAGTAATTTGTCCATGTTTTCATGATAGCTTAAAAACTCGAGTAACATGTCACATTTTCGCTTTCGTACCGTCCATTCGGGCGCCGTTTCACGCCTTACAGACAAGTGCACTTATACTAACTGTATTTCAATCGATTGAGTTGTACAAACATGTCTTGTGTAAAAACGTGAAAGGGTCCTTAACTAAAATCATTGTACACACGCCCTGTGTATTCAATTTAAAATCACAACGGATAAATCAAAAATGACTTTTTATGATTTAATTAAAAGTTTATGCAGAGAGGATATTGGTCAAATGCCTTTTTGTGAATTATTTTAATCATCAACCAGCTGACAGTTTTTGCTATTTTCCCGTTGCGTTCTTTTCAAAATCGGGTGAATAACAAATATAATTTTAAAAAGTAACAGAAGGCAAAAATCAAGATTTTAGGCTGTAGGTAACCACCTAAACAATGTTAAATGTTACTGGTTGGCACAGTTCATTTCTGGTGAATTTAGTAAGTTACAAACGCAACTGATTTCAAGCCTTACAATCGTTCAAGCGTGTTTAACTAGTAAGTGGGCCCAACGAGCTCGCGAGCTACCGAGAATTAACGGTGTTTCTGGTCTACATTGTAAAGCCAGTTCGCTTAGTCTGGCCAGGTACAATGTTGCGAGAGAGTGAAACTGATTTGCCGACTGTATGAGTTAATCAAGGCGATAAAATCCCTAAGCTCGTTGAAAATTTTATTACTTGTCCTTTCAGTCCTATGTACTGTTGACAAAGTGTTGATGTTTTAAGGAGAATTAAGCTATCGATGATTCCGAGCTGACCGAGCGTTTATATAAAAAGGCCTACTTTAGGATCAAATGTGGCCGAAATTGGGCGTACTTATAGAGAATTGCAAGCTACACCAGTTGAAGAACGTAGAATATGGCAGCGATTGAAAGCGACTTGAGCCCATTTATGTCTTTCCTCTTTAACTGGAAAGACATAAAAATTTATTCCCAAGCAAATATTTTGAATTAAATCCCAGAAATTTGGCTGAACATCGAAATGTTTCCCTTCTGTTATGTCAGCGTTTTTAGACGTTAAAACAATATCTTCAATGTTCCAAGTATCAGCCGTTACTTTCTTCACAACAAAATTTGCGTACGGGCCGATTTTGTGGTGATATTTCCACAGCAGAAAAAGTACAATGTGTGACACACAAAATCTATTTGTTTGAATGGCTCACACATGGAATCCATCTACCAGAAGAACAGAAGAATCATTATTTAAAATGATATCTCCAAGAACAATGAGTCTTTCGCTGTCTTAACCAGCGATTTTATTAAACAGTGAGAAAAACAAAGCATCCAGACTTTCCTCACGACGACCTACGAGCGAAGACGTTACGACCGACTTATGAGTTAGACCAATCGAAATTCAAGAGTCCTGTTTTATATAGTTTACTAATTTTCCTGCAGCGTTGACTGTGATAAACTAGTCTCTTTTTCTACACTCAAAACTATTGTGTGAAAGTCTGATATTGTATAGGACTTTCAGAAATTCTATTTTGCATCCTTTTAAGCATAATGTAAGGAAGTGTTAAGTCTTCCTCTGTCTTGTTTTTTTTTCTCTCTCTCGTTTTTTTGTTGTTTTTTTTTTGTTGTTGTTGTTGTTGTTCGTCTTTTTTTCTCTCTCTCTCGCTCGTCTCTTTTTTCTTTGATTTTAATGCAATCTAAGACCAATAACCGTGATCCAAACAGAGCTTAACGGACTTAATCTCTGATGTAGATTTGAAGATTTATCAACTCCAAACTCGAGCCTTTTCGAAAAGAAAGAGAACGTTAAATCGCTTCAAACATCCACCAAGTTAATTAGCGAGATAGAACGAACGGAACCTTTTTTCCTCGAGCGGAAATTCAAAGGAAATGTATAGCAGGTGAAAAATGGCCGGTATTGTTTTGGAGCTGTAAGTGCCCGAGAATGTTATTTTTTGAGAACGCTCACACCAAGTTTATTTCTCATTAAATACCGGAGATACGCCTTTAGCAAAAAGTGCGCTTCGTCCATTTCGTTTGCAAATAAACCACTTTGTCCCTTTGTAAAATAAGCCGGAATTATAGCTTATTTCAAAGAAAAAACGGTCATTTACGAAGCAATTTTAGTCTAATTAAATTGCGCTTTTCTCAGGTTTAATTTGTGGGCATAGCATCTAGAAAAAGCAATCAGTGATCTTTTGTATTTACCTTAACTGCTATTTTATCTTTTCAAATATTAATTGAACAATTAAGAAGCCCCGTGTAAAGAGAGCGACTACGTTTTCTCCCAGTCAAACCTCGTTGTATTCTGTTGAGTAAGCGATGTGTAGTTGTGTAGTAAATACTAAAATAATTCCACTATTTTATAAACCGTCATGAGCTTTGAACTTCTGAGTAGAAGTTTTTGGGGTAATTTGAATTAGTTATATAACTGAGGTAATAACTGAAAACACAGCATTATAACCGGCACAAAATCCGAAATATTATCGGAAGATGTAAATGTTTAACAAAATTTTACGGCGATAACTCAACTTTAATACGGACGTTTTGATATATTCCATACGTTTTAATTATGGGGACGTTAAAAGAAACTTGATGTTTTCATGGAAACACGAAAAAGACTGTAGCTTAAAGCCCCGGATTGCACCAGGATCAACTGAGTTGTGACGAAGTGCGAAGACGGCTATTTAATTTTTTGTAAACACATGATGGTGATCCCAGACTTTGGATAAAAACAAAATTTTTCGATTGCCTGATCTCGCGCTTTTGGCAAGCTGAATGACATATCTGCTGTGCTTGCTTATTAAAATGAAATTAGAAAACGTGCTTTAACGTCTGAAAACAAAAGCCTTTTTCTACAGGACACTGGCCATCTCAATGTAGACCGACCTAGAGGAGAAGAGCAAACACCAGCGATTGGGAGGAAATTTGAATTTACTTTTTCAAGAGCAAGTGCCAATTCTATTCTGCCATCTGCTGCGGGGATGATAGATCAGCAAATTTATACTCTGAGCGGATCATAATCAGTTTTTATTTATTTGGAAACGTCAAATCTTATTCAAGTCTCTTTATTTTCACTCTGGGTTTGGCCTCAGTAATTGGCTTAAGACGTATCTAATTCCACGTTTGAAACAATAATGTTTTGTTTGGCCGAGTTGATACAAATGAGTATCTTTTGCGGTGTATTGGTTTTGCGCTGCATTCGTCGCGCTTTTTCTACTCCCTTTAAGAAAAACTATTTTCACCTGTGATACAGAGAGGATTATTTCCGAATCTCATGTGAACTATTAGAAAAATCAGACCCTCTAACAGAAGTATGATCAAGATGTGTTTTTTGTGTGGCGAAAAAGCGTTAATTTCGCAGGTAACCATTGATTAAAAAGATTCCCTTCCTGCTAAGAAGCCGTATCGATATTTCCAATCAATTATATATTCATCCTAGTGATAGAAAAATACCCATCTCTTGTTGACAATACGCGAAAAAACCGCGAGTTTGTATCGTCTCAAATCTAAAATGTCCGAGTTGTGTTCCATGAAACTGCAACAACGTTATTCGAGGTTTAAAAACATTTGTACCTAGCCACAATATAAGCAAAAGCCTAGAGTCTCTGCATCCTTTATTAACATCACAGTTTCTGTTGACAGTCGGAAACTAAGTTTCCAAATCAAATCACAATTAAAACTATCTTTGTGACAACGGTGTGAAAAAAAAATCACTTCTCTATTATTATTTAATCTTAACTTGACGCGTATAGCATTGGCAGGTGACTAGAACAATATGCGCGAGACACGGAGACATGGTTTGTTCAATTTCCGAACACATCTCGAAAAAAATTCAAACTGCGTTCTATCTGAAGTTTTCATCACTTAAAAGGAAAATCGTTCCAATGCTACAAATAAGTAAACCATTGCAATGTCAAGGAAGTCACTCGGTGTAGCATGCCCTGATAGGGTATGTACGGGGGCACGCGTGCCACAATTACTTATATTCACACACCGCGCTCTAAACATATAATGCGTACCGATAATTAAATTTTGTGGTGTGATATAAGCCGTTTGTAAGAAAACAAGCAGTTTTGAATGCGGTGATACTGTAATTAAAGCAACACAATGCTACCTTGCAAAGAACCTTAAAAAAATAAAATATCATAACTGCAGCGCCCGCTATCCACACTAAATCCATTTGGCATGTTGTCGCATACAAGAAATTTTCCAATATGGGCGATATATGGCTCTTGTTTGGACAGCACGTGTCGAGCACATTATCTTCAAATTCTATATACATAGAATCAACATTTCAAAGCAATGGATCGCTAATTGTTTTGATGGCGAATAAAAGTGTAAAAAAGCTGCGAAAACACTTTACCGCCTAAACAAAAGTCATTGATGACCAGATTAAATTACAAAGATGCTACCGATCTACATGGGCCTTTCATTTGGGGCACCCAGCTTTAATTAGCTTTGCCAGCCAATCACCGCTTAGGCTGGTCACGTGATCATCATAGCAGCTGGTCTAGTCAAACTACAAGGTGCGACAGCACTGTACAAGTCCAAAAGCCCCTTCAGTATAAGCAAGAGACTATAAAACGCCACGACCTTGGAGGAGGAATTTAGCAAATTTTACCAGCCGTTTTTTCGTGAATTTAAATGATGGACGTCGACCAACAGACCGTAGTGGGTAAGAGAACTCAACTTGAAGCTTTGTGTATTCCTTGGTATTCCAACTGACAAGCTACGGAAGTTTTTCATGTAGTGAGTTTAAAAGTTTAGAGTTCTTAAAGGGTTTTACTTTTAATTAAAATCCCATTAGCTAGAATACGATACTGAGCTGTAGCTATGTTTTCGCTTCAAAAATGTACTCTCTCTTTATTTTTCCACTTCTAATGTCGTGTGCCTGTTCTGACGCGGCATACAAATTACGTCTGAGGAAAAGACAGCTTTTAATTCTCTCCCATTTCCATGGAATCAAAGCCTACGAAGAATTCGTACGCCAGAAAAATTTCTCTCCCTAAAAAAATCCCAAATCGCTTCTTTGATCGAGCGTCGAAGCCCAAGCGATTTTAATTTCCAAACAAGTTCAAAACTTCGACACTTAGCGTCTTGAGAAACTCATCGAACGGTTTTCTGACTTTCTTGTTTTGACTGTTACACTCTTTAGAAGATCGCGACATGGATCGCGAAAGCTCCTCGCCGAAGAAACAAGAAACCGTCGAGCGAAAGCCAGAGGTGCTGTGCAAAGTATGTGGAGATATTTCATCCGGAAGGCATTACGGCGTGTACACATGCGACGGGTGTAGTGGGTTCTTCATGCGGAGTGTAAGGAGAGATATGGTCTATTCCTGTAAGGGCAACGGAAATTGTGTCGTTGATAAGAAAAGACGGAATCAGTGCCAGGCTTGCCGCTTTCAAAAATGTCTTGATGTCAAGATGAACAGGTTCGGTAAGTGAGAAAGTTACACGTAAAGTTACTTTAAGATCGTCATTAGATCATGTACACACAGAGAGAGCTCACGCCCAGTTACTGGCTGGCCAGCGAGGCAATTAAAACTCGCCCCGATCATGAAATTTGTTTTCGTTTTTGGCACATATCTTAAGAGAGGGGCTTAACCCAATTCCAGCATATCATTGTTGGATAATCGACGAACACAACACATTGTACGCGCTGTTTTGTCACTCCGTCTTAAATGTATGATTAAAGCCCAAAAGAGGCGGAAAGCGTTTAAAATGTAACGCGCCGTTGAAACGTGCCGTTTTGTAAAGCGACGTGTATTTTTCCGTTGGTTTGGAATGTATTTAATCTTCTTCTCCTTTGCGAAAAAATTAAAATTTAATTTTGTGACAGAATGTTTACTCGGGAGATCCAAAACGTTAAAATTGCAGAATTTTGTCGAAAAGTTCTGAAAGTCGACTTGGACGGTTAGTTTTGATGTCTAAGGTGAACATGGGTGTTAAGGTTTTCACATTATGAAAGGAGGCGCCACAGTTTTACCCATTTTCATAATGTTTGGTATCTCGGAATTTTCTTCAATTTAACAATGTGATAGATATTTGGAAGATGATATTTTGATACTCCGGTGGAGGCACATTGTTCCCTAAATACATTGAATTTCGAAGACAGCAATTAGTTCCAATTAATCTTTATAATAAAAAGGAAACGTCAAACTTTCCTTCCATTCTTCGTTGACAACAAATCAGTGTGTATTTTCGCAAGCTGCGGTTTGGGAACCTTCGCAATTAAACTTTATTTATTCAAAGACGAGACCGTGTAGTGCTCTAAGAAATTAGAGTTTCCCGACGAAATGGGTAAATAAATATCTCCTAATGAAATGCTAGCATGATATCTCGGGAAGATTAGAAAAACAGTAAATTGTTTCAAGTGATAATCTGTGGCATTTCCGAGAACAGCATATGTCGAGCTAATGAGCACAGGTGAAAAAACCCTTTCAAATGCTTCACAAGAAAAACATTTGGCGGTATCTTTGAGGAGGAGTTTATATCCTGTAGGTGGATTTTATTTAGGCGTTTTAGGGAGATATTTAAGACTGCACACTCACTTTCTGGCTTTTTAGAGACGAAAAAGTCTAAATGTGGTGCGATTCCAATTCGAATCACATCATGCAGGTGATCCTCGGGTCGATTGCAAAGACATTTTGTTCCATTCATCAGAACAGCCAGACCGTGTTTTTCTTTTGAAAGGTAACTCGTCCTTATTCTTTCGTAAACAATAAACTGAGTTCTTCAGCAAGGAAACAAATGCTTCTATTGTGTTTTTTCAATACAATTTCTCCTTGAAAACTTTGAACAAAACGAGGAAAGCCCGCCAAGTAAACTACGGCAGCCTTAAGGTTGAAAGCAGGTCTTGTTTAACACTGATACATAAAACGAAAGAAAATTACTCTTGCTAAGCTAGAGAACCAGTGTTAACATGATTATGGTTTATTTGAAATATAGGCAATTTAAAAGCTCCACGCCGCTTGTTTTGAATAGATTAATATCGATAGTGATACACTATTGTGATATTGGGATAAGCAGAGAAAACTGATGAAAGGTAAACAGAAACGCGTGGCGGCCCCGAAAAATTGAAACCCCATTTTTCATACGCTATTCTCACTTAAAGAGCTTAAAAAAAAGCACCACACTTACCAAAATTAAAATCTCCCTTTCACCTTGCATTCCCAGATAGGGTAGCATTTAAACCTGTGGAAGTATTTCGCTGGGAAAACAAAGTTGTTTGAGGAAGGGATCTGTTTATTGAACCCGCGCTAGTTAGGATCCGTGTTTAAGAACAGCCTTTGTTGTGTATGTACGTTAGTTGTAAACAATGGTTTTTCGTTTTCTATAGTGAGTTCTTTTCCATTGTCTTGAATTAGACATTACAATTTAACTCGATTATAAACAGGTAGTTCTGTCTTATGATCCTCTCGAACTGAAATAAATTTGAATTAGAGAAGTTTTCCGATGAAACGAAAGCGGGCTGCGCAAAAATGTTGGTGGTTAAAATTTTATTTCGTTCAAAAAAGCCTATGACGAGGCGATAGATCTTTGGTCGTAACCGCTAAATACTGAGAAATTTTCTGCTCATAAGAATAAATTTCTCTGATGACCAGCAAGCAGGAGGTCCATACAGTGGTAGTATTTTAAAAGCCGCAGTCAATTTGCCAGAAAAAAATGAGTGTTATCGACAAAACTTTTACACTATAACTGGATCAAATTTCCTGAATGTTTGAACCTTACGATGATGCAATGAGGGAACGTACCGGGCTCCTTTTGTATGCATATTCAAAATTGCTGCTTCAAAGTAAACAGTTAAGTTTAATCTTACTCCAAAATAACATAGTCAATTTTGAAAAGCACTGTTCGCTTTTAATTTCTCCCGATAACTAACTTGAACTTACCTGAAAAAATATACATCTTACGCTCTTTCTTTAGAACATGCAGTCATGAAGTCATAAAGAACCAGGCATGAGTTTGATACGTGATTTGAATATTTCATTTTTGAAACGTTCCGATCTCCTAATAACCTTAGACTTCAATGAGACAACTAAAAATTATTCATATTTCTTGGCGCAAATGCGTTGTGTTTTTTAGCGTCAATTCTTGATCAGTCAAAGTAACATATTGGAAAAACAGCTTTGTTCAATGTCTGACGATGAATACCGCGGCATGTCAAGGTCGAACCTTCCGCTATCTGTTTGTTTGTGTGTTGTCAGTTAGTCACAGGCCGTCACATTTGTATGCAGGGTTGTTCACCGTTCGGACGGTCTCTGTGGTGACATACCTGTAGGCGAGAATATAACGAAGGGAATAATGGAGTTATTTTAAAGTGTTGTATCTCTCATCATTATACAAGCACTTCAAACCGTGCGAAAAACCGTTATTATACCAAAAGTGTCGTCTGCACGCCCATTTCATTGTTCATCCTAAGAACAGAGGAACTGGCAAGTACTGAACGGTTAATTTGCAAAGCCTTTGTCAGTCGTTTCCTAGGTTTTAAGATAGAAAGAACAGGTACGCTGGCGGGCGGCAAGGGAACTTACATGAAACTAAAATTAATTGCATCTTCACACACTCATAAAAATCAATAAAACTCTTGTGCCGCATGAGGCTGGCTATAGCATTCACAGTGTTGCGGTCAAAGATTTGATTCCACTAAAAAGTATTTTTTTTTAGTTTCAAATATGCACCTCCTTTTCGAATGAAAGGAATAGAAACAAACAGCTGCGGATTCTTGCAACACTATTAATTGCTACGTCTCTAAGATGCGTAGGTTGATCTGAGTGATTTTACCTGCTCCTTGACAGAACAAGACTGTTTTAATTTCTCTTATTTTTTCATTTTAAAATTTCACATTCTAAAGTTTTAGCGAGGACAAATAATTTTGTTTTTAGTACGAACGCTTCCGTCATTTACGCGCACGAAGAAATGTACCAAATTACTTTACTGCTTAAAAGCCAAAGAAAATATCTCTGTGTCACAACTTACCAGCTATTCATATTCACATAGTTTAGCTTATTGTGAAATGCATAAATAAAACATGGTAGGAACGCCACCTTCAGACAATGTCTTTCATGATGGTATAACTTCCATATTTCATAGTTCAACAGAACACATTGGCTTGACTTTCATTTTGAATATATTTTCAAAGAAGTTAAATTAAAGCAAATAATTCTGCTAGAAAACGTAAGAATGGCCTTTGTGTTAGGCACATTAGAAGTAAAACAAATTTCAACTTCAAAATGGTAATTCCAAAGAAGCAAACTCCTTCGAATGAACCGATGTAGACAGAAATAAACTCTCTGGCAATATTGAGACTGTTTTTGAAAAAGCAATATTTAGAGGTGCGAGGTTTTAAGAGATTCACTTAAATGGTCTCGAAAAAACTTGAATATTCATTTCACACTGCACTGACAACGTTTCTTCTTCTTAAATTAGCGAGTGCAAATTCCATTTTAGGAGCGAGAAACGTGTCTCAAACACTAGCTTATCTTCGGGCTAGCTTTCAAGAGGAAAGTAAATTCAATAAAGGCGAATGCTATATGAAACATGCCAACTTTTTGATTAAAACGATAAATTTAACAACATTGGGTAGCGTTCGTTTGTTTCCCTTCCATCGTTCTTCGTCAACTCGTTGAATAATATAAAGTAACGCAAATAATAACTATCTCGCTATACGGTTTATCTAGCTAGCGAAAAAACCATGTATGCCTAAAGATTAAAAAGTCTATCATACGTGCCAACCTTCTTTCTTGGTATTAGGCTAGTCAATATGAAATAAAATGATTGAATTTACCCTCCAAATTTTCCATTCTGTTGGTTTAAGTGGGAAGCTATACATTCAAAGCAGTTTTTATTTTAGAATCTGTGTAGTGAACTCTTTTATTTTGTCATTTACCAGCTGTTCAACAGGAAAGACAACCCAACTCTACTCGCCTACTCAAGCCGCCGATGGGTGATGAATACGCAAGCAAATTCATGAATAACGACTTTCTGACGAGCTTGATAGTGGCAGAACCCTGCCGAGAAGCCGTACATCGATTCGGACACCAAACCTCAGGAATACCCTATCCATCACAACAAGAAATAGCTACCTCGCTTTACTGTTCAACCCCTGACGCCATCTGCGAATCTGCCGCGCGTTTGTTGTTCATCTCTGTGAAATGGGCGCGAAACATCCCTTCTTTCGTGAACCTGCCGTTCCGCGACCAAGTGATCTTGCTAGAAGAAGGCTGGAGGGAGCTGTTCATCATGGGAGCTGTCCAGTGGAATATGCCCCTTGAGGTTGCGCCCCTCCTGGCAGCGGCAGGAATGCATGTGGACAACACGCCAGCGGAGAAGATTGTGGCAACCATGGCTGACATTCGCATGCTGCAGGAAATTAGCGCGCGGTTTCGAAGTCTACAAGTTGGCGAGGCCGAATTCGCGTGTTTAAAAGCGGTGGTACTTTTCAAATCTGGTGAGTTGCATAACAATGAGAATTAATATCCGTCAGATTTTTGATAACGAGTTCTCACATAAACCCTTCCTCCTTCGCATTGTAAGCTTCAGGAAGTTTTTGCTTAAATCGTTCGTCCCACATTGTAAACAATGCGCAACGTTGTCGAAACTATAGCCTAATATCTTTTTATACAATCATTTCTGTAGCAGAGAATGTAAACTTCGCGCCAAAATATCTGAGTTAAACTGGTTCACAAACCAGAAATGTCATGAAGAGTCAAAATTAAGGCGGAACTCCAACACGAAATAAATATGAAGTAAATAAGAGCTTGATTTCAAAAGTTGTCTATTGAATGTGAGGTGATAGATTGTGTTATTGCCAGAAAAACAGAAGGGAACAGAACAATACTACAAAGAACTTTAAAACGGTGATGTTACGTTGTGACACGCTTTTAATAGAGAACCAACGACGGAAAAGATACAAAACTTTATTTGTCTTTCATTTAAGTGTATCTTTAATTCTTTCATGTGACGCATTGGAGTTGGTTTTCATTTACGGTGACTATTTGCGACAGAAATGGGCGTTCTTGGTCTTAATACTCTTACCAAGCTTAAAACATACTAATCATCTAAAATTAGAAGTCTTGTATTTTGAAAGTAAAATTTATTCTAGAAGGGAATAATCCATTTGGAACTCTACAGGCGAGAACACATGTTGGGCAGTTTCTGACTGGCTAACCACTTAGCTTGAAACGCCTTGTGTATTAGCGACGCGTAACAAGGTGAAGTGTGTTTTTCAGTTCTCCTTTATTAGCTGAGCGTATCAATAACCATATCATAAAAAAAATCATAGCCGCTTAATTTACGCTAATTACAATACGCTTTGCTTTGCTCTCTAAGCCTACACAGCTCCTCATTCATAATTAAAAAACCATTTCCCAATGATTGAATTCCTTAATAAGACTGTATGCTTCGGTTATTGAAATATGGCTAATTACGACCACACTAAATTTTTCGTATTAACTTTAATCAAATATGAAACTTATACTCTTTCATATTAATGAAGTCGCAGAAACCCCGTCTAACTTGTTATCAGCCATAAATAATTTCATTTTACAATAAAAAAAAAAGTCAGGCTATTGCAAAGCTGCTTCAAATCTGTTTGTGACCAAATTTTAATCAGTTATTTTTTCACGGAGGAACAAGGGAATAACGACGGTTTTCAAAGAGGAGTGAAGTTTGTTTTTCTATTTGTCAAAGAGTTTAGAGTCTTGTTATACCACTGTCGGAGTTCGAAGTTTCTTCAAAGAACTTCAAGTTGACGTTGGTTTGATCAATGTAAAGATTACGCGACAAAGTGCCTAATGGAACATACCATAACAAGACAAATTGCTACTCGAGTGGAGTGGAGTAAGATTATCATCTAAAGCCTACAGCCGAAAATTGGGCGGCATTGTAAAGAGTCGGTGTTTGATGTTTACACACTTCAAGCGTTGAATTGAAAACAGTTGTTTCGAGTCAAGAAAGGAAAAACTCTCCATGAACTTAAATTTATATTTTTAAAGTTTTATCGTTAGAAAGTGTCTTCCTCTTCCACAATAGCATTGAACCAGGACGAATAGAATACTTAGGATTTTAACAGGTCAGAGATAACTTCCTCATCTGTGCGAGAAACTTGATTTTGAATAGATTTAATCTACTAGCAGTTGCAATTTACCGTATCAAGGAAGTCACGAAATACGAAAAAGGTTTTTTTTTCTTTACGAGCGTTATAAAATAAAACACTATCCAAACAAGAAGTTGATTTTACACAGAGAAAGAAATATTTTGTACATTTAATATTTTACATCAGTACTTGTAGGCAGAAAACGTGTCAGATTTTTCACTCTGTGGTTTTCTAGTAACAGGTGTTTTTGTGAAAAATAATTCAATAAAAAATCATCTCGGATCATTTTACCTCCCGCCAGTTCGCGAACGTCAAGTTTTATTCAATAATGTATCCAATTTTTTGTTGTACCGACATGGCTAAAACCGCGCTGCCGAGAACGTCACGCTAAAGTTTAACAAAAATCACTGATTTTATCAAAGGTATTTTCATGGCTTATTAACCTTTAAGTGATTTTAAAAACGTTCGGGAAACTTTTAGGAATTACGTAAAAGAAATGAAGCGGTTTCTTTGAACCCGAGCTTCAGAAAATCCGAGTGAAAAGGAAACCGTATTTGTGACTTAAACCTGGCTTCATTCTCTTCAATCTTAGTGGTGAGACACTTTCTATTTTGAAAGAATAGCTTTTAAAAAGCACATTTTGAATCCTACGGAGTTAGCTTTGGTATCCTCTAAAGAATACATTCAATGAAAGTTTACGTAGTTAACTTAGAGAAAATGGAAATATAGTTGGACAATAACGAACATAAAACTTAACACTATTAAGACATTGCCTCGTGCTTGAACATATGACCATGAAGAAACTGACTAAGAAAATTTTAAATGGAGAACTATTTGGGTAAAAATTATGAAGTTTACATTTTCAGCTTTTTGGTCCACGCTTATAAAGTTAAAGGAATACAAAGTTAAAGGAAGCTAAGCTCACACAAAGACAGATTTTCATCACAAATAAATTGCTAGTTTCTTACAAAGGATTTTAAGTTATTAAAAATTTCATATTTAAATAGAGAGGCCTCACGCGTGTGACTAAAGAAGACAATAGTAAGTTTTGTGCTCAACTTTTCCGCGTCAGATCAGTGGAAATCGCTTGAAATATTTCCGGTTAAGGAAATATCAAGGCACTCAAAGGCTGTTAAAACTCAGTAAAATTGTACAGTTAAGGGGCATATACCCCATTCTTTGGTTTAAACTTTGTTTGAAAGATATGTGATATAAATCAACGCAAAGCATCTGTCACTTCGTATTCAAAACGTAACAAATTAAAAGATCATTATAAACCCCTGGCCAAACAGACTTACAAGTAGTTACAACTAGCTGCAAGTTGAACGTGCGTAGAGACTCGCGTTGGGTGGCTAAACGGACCCGTATGCATCCTCGCAAGTACACGCAAGGTGCAAAAACCTATTTCAAGGCTATGGGCTTAGTCCCACGCAGACAAAATGTAATCAGCACGATAACATATCCTGTATTTCATTGGCTAATAGATTGCTAAAACAACGAATGGACGTCACTCAACTAGCGTTGACTTGGGTTGGGTGAGCAAACGTTGAAAACCCTACATTGACTTGCGTGTAAATTTGATCTCGACCAAAGTGAGCGCAAGTCCTCGCAAGTCAACGCATTTGTACGCAAGACCTGGTCAAACGGAATCGCAGGTAGACCCAAGTTTTTAACTTGCGTCTACTTGCGAGTCCGTTTGGCCAAGGCTTAGGCTTGCACTCAAGTTCTTTTATCTTGGAAGGTTTTACCCATTTCCCCTCCATGATTCGGATCACGTGACAGTTTCAAGCGCTACGAGGTTTAATAGGCTTAGACGAAGCGATGCGTTAACAGCACGAACAGTGCCCCTGAGAACGGAAGAGGTGCAGTTCAAAAAGAACTAATTTTAGGGCTCAAACTTTGCGCTAAAGTTACTAATGTCACACGGCGTGAGACTTCTACAATTCAGTAATTATGTCATTACAAACTATACAGCCTTCTCAGTGTTTGGTTGTTGTTTTCTTCTACACATTAGAGCTCAGAGGATTGCGTGATCCACAGCAAGTGGAATGTTACCAAGACCAAGCACAGATCATGTTAGGAGATTACATCAGGAGGCATTTTCCCGGTCAGCAAGTCCGCTTTGGAAAGCTTCTGTTAATGTTACCATCCCTGCGTATGGTGAACCCCAAGACGATCGAAGAGCTGTTCTTTCGTCAGACCATCGGCAGTGTTGCAATTGAAAGTCTTCTTTGTGACATGTTTAAGTCCAGTTGATTGGCAAAAGGAAAATTTCGTTACACTTTCCCCAAGGACAACAAGCATTGAAATGAGGCTCCGTTGTTGTGGAGTACCTCGGTTAACAACAGTGAACAATCACATGGTAGTCTGTTACAAATCAAACATGGGTGTGATTTCCAGGCTAAGTTGTTTTCCAATTACCGCAGACTTTTCTGCCAATAGCAAGGGAGAAAGTATAAATAAATCATAATTACAGGTTTGTGACTAAGAAAGCTTTGTTTTAGAAAAAAAAACTAGTATAAGATATTAGCGTAGAAATATACTATAACATGTAAAAGCAAAGTACATTTTTAAGGGATTGAAAATTGTTAAGTACATGAAGATTTCCTTGCCGAATTTTATAATTAATGGCCAGAAAGCTGTCATTATACAAGAAGCTTATTTTAAAACAGTATGTAAAACGTTAGGCTTCAGATTACTGTCAACAATTTTAAACTGTTGAAACAGAAGGGACATTGCCCGAGGGGGATATCTATTTAAAAAGGACGGGGGGGGGCTCGTCGTACCTTTCAGGGGTTAAAAAAGCGGTTTTGGTACATCNGGGGGGGGGGGGCTCGTCGTACCTTTCAGGGGTTAAAAAAGCGGTTTTGGTACATCGTCTTACGGTACCTTTTAGGGTATTGAGTCGAAACAAGTTGCTGTCAGTTAAATGTGTTGTTTTAGAATTGGTACCTTTCAGGGGTGAAAAAAATTCAAGCCACGCCCACGAAACAGGACCTTGGTACCTCTTAGAGGTTCTTTTCAAAATTTCCGACGAGCACCCCCCGTCCTTTTTATAAGGAAGCCCCACCTGGGGATATTGCTTGTATGCAATGGCGAAATGTACAAAATCCATTTCAACGTATGTTATAGGTCAAATGATTCCAAAGTAAAGGTAGATGCAGTAGATAAAACATAATTATTTTATGAACGTGCTCGAGGGACAAATATCGGTGAACAACAACTGCTTCAACGAAGCTTTGCCATACCAGGAACCCCTGGTTAACTTGACAATAGTTACATCAGCCAGGAAAGAATATTTTGTAAAAAAAAAAAAAAAGCATAATCGTTTTTAGAGATCAATAAACGCTCAGTTTGTAAACTGACAGGATGAAGAACAAGCACCGCTACTTAAAGGAACTACGTCACGTTTTGTGTATCTAGAAAAGTTTGGCCCAAATTTTTCAAGTTTGTCGTTTGTAATTCGTGTAAATCTTCTCCACCCTTTACCATCCTTGCTACTTTATGGCTTGTTTTTTGTTCTTTTGTGTTTTTCTATCTTAGTAAACTATTATTTTCAGGTTTCCTCCAATTTAAAGGTAATTTTGTACGTGGTAAAAATAACTAAAAAAAACCGTGGCTGAGCGTCTTTATGAGCCATTTTCTCTAAATAGAGAGAATAAGGCAACAGACGTGAAGCGTTGGATTTCTTCATATCTTGCCCAAATAACTTTTATAGTGAGTTGTTTTCGAAAATATCATTCAAAGGTCCTGAAGTGCTTTAGTTTTTCGAAATCACTATTCGTGAAGTGAACATGGAACTTGCCCAGTGACCTTCTAAAGAGTAAAATAGGCGAATGTAAACCTTTTTCGTCATTACGGATGCTTCAAATTGGTTTTTTCACAAAGTAATATTCCTGTTATATTGACAACATCATTAACGTTTTGTAAACGCTTGCACTGAGTTAAACGAAAATAGACTACGACTAAGGCTTCTTGGTTAATTGCACCGCTCTTTCCAGATTTCTCCTCACAAAGGTCCCAGAATTTGCTCTCTTTTAAAGACTTCGCTTAAGAATCGAAACGCTCTGTTCGTGGACGAACAAAGAATCCTCAAAATTCAATGCTTTCGCGCAGGCTCTAGCTTCTAAGTCCTACCCCACCCCTACGTCGGCTTGCGCCAAAGCGAAAAGCGAGAAAGCAGCGCTTGAGTTGAAACCCAGACACTAAAGCCTGGAAAGAGACCTTAGAGATCTTAAATAGACTATATAAAGATCTTAGAAATATGATATTGTGCGCAGCGTGGAATCACTATGCCACAAGGACAGCAACGCGTCTCATCGGATCGTGAAAGTTAAGTCCTGTTCGGTGGGATTAATGCTTGGTTAGCTGATCAAATAGAAAATACCTCGTGTTGTAATGATTTCTTTTTTTTTTTTCCTTCTCTTTCTAAGCAAATATCGGTAATTGCAGAACTCGCAACCCTGTGAAATGTCTTTTCTTCTTTTGATAAACCTTTTTTTTTTCATTTAAAGACATTTGTGATTGTTTTCCACAAAAGCACCACGGCTTATGGAATATGAACAAACTATTTGTTCATATCATTTCGCCATGTCCATATTTATTTACTACAGTGCACCCGGCCCGCATAAATTGTACAGCGAAACGCAGGGTTCGAATTCGCCTCAATATCCCTGTCCTTTCCCGTCTAAAATTTTCAATCCAGGCTTAACCTGGCATAAGGTTGGCGCGGCTACAAGTTGACCAATCAAGATTCATTAGGCGAGAAAAACTGTGCTGTCGTGAGGTCAATGTTTGTTACAAAAAGGCATTGCAGTTGCGTCACGTTTCTTACTAGATACCGCATTGAATATTAACGAAAAGGGATTTATAATTCCAAAAACCATATCAAATTGCAAAAAGTGAAAAACATGAAACATTTTGTTCCTCGAAGTTTTTAATTTGGCGCCCAAATTGGGTCGCCAGCTTAACTCACTGGTAGTCGAGTGTTGCCAAATGGGATTACAGTTGTGTTATTTCGAACAAATTATGTTGTTCCTCGTGAAATTAAACCCAGAATTCTCGAGTAAAAGTATTATAAAAGGCCAAAGCAACTTAAGCATTGTCTTTATTTTTGTCAGCTACGAAGAAAAAGACTGCTATGGTGTCGTTTCGGTAGGTCAGTTCAGTTTATCGATGTACTGCGGGCGGAGTCGCCATATGCAAGGAAATCGTGTCACCTCCACCTCTGGGGGTTACTCTCTATAATGACCTATACGGGGAGGCTCCGCCTGAAAAGGGTACCTTTTTCAGGTTACAGGTATGTAAAAGGGTTGGGATTCCACAAGTGGAGGTAAATGAAAGACTGGGTAAATCTGTCATTTAGTTACTTAAAAGAACCTTTAATTAAATATCTCGAACGGACGCACCTTGTGGCAATGTCATTTCGTTTATTAGGCACTACATGAAAATGTACGTATACCAGTAGTAATTTCGTTTGCGGTCCCTTGCATCATTTTGTTTCCTTTTTTGAAAGGGATACTCTTTTAAAATTTAAGGTATACGAAAGGAGTACTTTTTCTGTCAAAATGGTATACGAAAGGGTAAGGGGTTGGAACTCGGGGCGGAGCCTCCCCGTGTAGAACTTTGTGTACTAGCTCCCCCACCCCCCAACCCCTCTCTCCGGGCATCCACTTGAAAAAGCTCAGCAACGACTTACCTGCAGGATTAGAACCAGCCATCAATTCACTCAAACTTCGGCGCGACTTTATATTTTTGTACGTACTCGGAATTTACCTGAGCCTGCTGTGCTACAGCGTTTCGGTACATACTACTGACCTATTTTATCAATATTCGCCTCTAACTTTCACCGTGATTGTAGATGTGGGAGTTTGGAGGTGCGAGCAAATCCCTCAGGAAGCAATAACTCCTTTTTTTCATGTTGTTGCTTTTTGTTTGTTTTTGTTTCGTTTTTTTTGTCTTTTTCAACGCATGTTTATGTCAAGAAACTATTTACCGAAAGGCAGTGTTTGTCTTTCCGTTTCTTGCGCTTAAAAAACTCATCTGGGGCTTTCTATCTTTCGATAATTTGTCGACCATTCGATTTCTTTCGAACTCGCTATATGCTAGCCTTCGACGCACCCTAAGTTATCACTAGTATCACGTAGGATTGTGAAGGAAAAATCATGGAAACTTTTTCCCGAACAAATGAATCGCGAAGGAAGAAGCAAGAAGTCTTTCCCGTACAATCAATACATTGCTTCACTTTCTACCTCTCGAATAACTTGACATGCACGAATTCAGCGTGCAAGCGACTGTGAAAGCCCTAAAAACACTGGTCAGCGGATGTTCAAAGTATCTAACAGGAAACAAAGGGGTAATGGAGTGATGGTGTGAATATCCCATCCAAAAATATTATAAAAGATAAAAATGACGATCAATTAATTAACGAACATTTTTGATAGAAAAACAATCTTATCGGAACACAAGAATTCCGAGATCCGAGATCTGGTAAATTCTCTCCGAGATCGTTGAAAAATCCAAAGATTTGTATTCCCGAAGGGAGTGAGTAATTTTTTGGGTTGAATTGAAATAAGCTAATTTGTTGTAATGACCGTTAATCTCTTTTACGAGGGTCCTGAAAGGGGAACTGGGATTGGCCTGTTTTTGCCCTGGCAAACGGGGTTTAGGTCACTGGGAATGGGAAAATATTTCAAACTGGGAATGGGATAAATATTTTGTAACCATAACCAGTAGCGGTTGAGAAACATCAGAGAATTGTTCAAGCACCTTGTTAGCGTCAATTTTTTAATGAGCTGTAGGCTGTGTAGTTATATCAGGGTGATTAATGAGATGTAGGCTGTGTAGGTATATGTGGGGATTAATGAGATGTAGGCTGTGTAAATATATGTGGGGGATTAATGAGATGTAGGATGTGTAGGTATATGTAGGTAATTAATGAGATGTATGATGTTAAAATTTTTAGAAATAACACGTTTTGAAAAACATGTTTCAATAGAATCTTCTGTCATCTTCAGTTTAAATTACAAAGTACAGAGTTGAATATATAGTGTACGCAAAATGCTAATTGACTATAAGAACAAAAGGATGTAAAATATTACAACGAAAGTTTTAAATTAACATGATAAAGTTCATGATTAAGTGTAGGTATATGTGGGGGATTAATGAGATGGAGGCTGTGTAGGTATATGTAGGGAATTAATGAGGTGTAAGATGTATGATGTGTAGGTATGTAGGGGATTAATAAGATGTAGGATGTGTACGTATATGTGGGGGATTAATAAGATGGAGGATGTGTAGGTATATGTAGGGGATTAATGAGATGTTGGCTTTGTAGCTATATGTAGGGGATTAAAGAGATGTAGGATGTGTAGCTATATGTGGGGAATTAATGAGATGTAGGATGTGTAGGTATATGTAGGGGATTAACGAGATGTAGGATGTGTAGGTTTATGTGGGGGATTAATGAGATGTAGGCTGTGTAGGTATATGTGGGGGATTAATGAGATGTAGGATGTGTAGGTGTATGTGGGGGATTAAAGAGATGTAGGATGTGTAGGTATATATGGGGGATTAATGAGATGTAGGCTGTGTAGGTATATGTTGGGGAATAATGAGATGCAGGCTGTGAGGGGATATTGGGGGATATTTAGGAGGTTGGTTAAGGAAGAATACTTGATTATATATCCAGGAGGATATATAATTAAGAGATTAAGAGAGCTGTGTATATTGCGGTGGAGTTAACAGGCCGCCCGACCATCCGGGTGGTGTCGCAGTTATAAAGCGAAAGAACAAAAGGCTTGGCTGTGAGCCAA